TTGGAAACCTTCTGCAAAATCCGCAACAGCGAGAAATATCGTTTCAAAAATGCTCATTATATATTCAAAAACTATTTGAGGTAAACACTAAGACATTCAGTTACTTGTAACTCCCCTGATTCTTGGTCGATTCTTACAATTCCTACACAGCTGCCAAGGTTAAAATGTCCAGAACGCATCTCCCGTTTTTTAAAAAATATCCGGATCTGTTTCACGAAGAAATACGCAATTTCCGAAGAAGCGCGAAGTGTGCAGAATATCTAGTGTTCGGTAAACTTCGACGGTGTCTATACCAATGCTACAGAGCGTGGCACGCATAGCATATACAATTAAGCCAATTAACACCTTAAACAATAGGCGTTGCGAGTCTGTTGTATTACTAGTCTGAGTTTCAACAAAGAAAAGTGAATTTTATATTGTATATAGTAAATGCCAAAATTCTTTGTTGAACTAAGAACATATATGTAGCAAAAATAATTGTTGCTTTATAAAAAGGGGTAATTACTGCCACAACACACAATCCAATCTCACTGATCAATTGAGCTCAAAATAAGCTATACAATATCAGTAGATGAATAGCAAAGCAGTGTGTACATATTAGGTAAATGTAAATATTGATTTATATATTGCAGAGGAAATGGATAAACAAGACAAGAGTGTTAATCTTTTGTTCAAGAGGGATTTCATACAGAGGACGACATCTTATGAATGATCTGCGAAGGCTAATGCCGCATTCAAAACCAGGTAAGTTTTGGTTTTTGTTGATAAATGCTCATATTTAGTTATTGAGTCTGATTGGAATCACTTGAAGAATGATGTGCACAGATTGGTGTGCAATCGTCTTGTGTCCATCTTAACTTCCTGGTAATACTATTGCTCATTATGGCTACATGTACCTACTGTGGAGGCATTTTAAGTGTTACTTTATCTTGTGTATTCAGAATACATGTAAAACAGATGCATTTTTTTAGTTTTGGAGGTGCGCTTCTAATAATAGAAAAAATACAGATGTACGGTATTTAAATCATTCTGAATTTTTTAAGCTGAGATAACATGTTGATTGGAGAGTTCAAGTTTACCCATGGACATTATGGGTGGTATGATTTGTGCTTGGGTTTTTGTGACATAATGTGAAAGACCAGTAATGCATATTTAGATATTCATGGTAGTCTTGTTTGTTTATAGATGTGAAAATGGAAAAGAAAGATGGACTGTTTTTAGTCAATGAGGTGAGTCATTCAGTGATGTCATCATCTCTGATGCATACTTTTTTCATCTGCTTTGAAACAATTTGATGTTTTAGCACTGCCCATTAGCCATCTGTCAATTTGATGTGGTTAATATGATTTATATATTAATTACAATAACTACTTGAAATTTTAATTACAATGCAACTCGATGCCTGAAGTAAGGAAATATTATGAGGTTATTACGGGAATACCTCAAAGTATGCACGAATACAGTACAGTGGATGTCGAATGGGACGGCGTACTGTCTGAGTGCATACTTTGAGGTATCCTCGTAATAACCTTATTATACATCATTTCCTTCCAAGGATACATAATGGGAATGCTGAAATCCAAAAAATTTTGAACAGAATCAGCGAACATCTGTGTGGAGTCCGGTCAAACCCTGGTGGCAGCCATTTTTTGTTTTTATTATTAGAGGACGCTTACACACGTAATCATTTCATATTTGGAATTCGCATTTCCTAATATGGTAGAATGAAAATACACTTACGATGTTACTGTGACAGATGTATATTAATAATCATTATAAAGCAGGTTACCTATATAATGAGAAAATTTCAACATGTTATATATAGTAAATTCAAGAATTACAACTTGTATGTGGGTAATGATAATATTGTGACTAATAACAGAGCATGCTAGTTGTCATAGTGGCTAATGGTAATCATGACCCAGGCTAATACAAATTTGTACTGGTTTTCTTTGTACACATTTGTAACATTTTCTTTTTCCTTTTTTAAACTAGATCTGTGAAATAAAGAACTGCAATAAAGTCATATATTTTGAAGCCAAAAAGAAAAAAGATCTTTACATGTGGTAGGTATCAAAGAAAATTTGGTTTGTTAATTTGTAATTAAACAACTGAAGTTTGGTATACATGCATGCTACCGTTAGTTGGAATATAGGGTTAAGCCTTGTTGTACCTACACTGAATGGTTCAAAACAACAAATATAAAATTATGTTGCAGTTACTGACTCTATAACAAATCCTAGTATTTAGAGGTGAAAAGTTTTGTGGCAAACACCAAAATGAATGACAATGTTGGTATTTCTCAATTAAGGATTATCAATACTGGTTCACAAAAACATTGAAACGGGGGGAGGGGGTGGTCACAAACCTCATTGAATGTTGATGCAATGCAATTAATACAGGCTCTATGAAGAAAAAGTAAAACATGACCCTTTAAAAAATAAAAAAAAAAAATGTAATTTTTTTCAAACTTACTAGTAGGGTAATGATTGGCTGAGATAAATGGTCATTGACTTTTTCAAATGATATTCAAGTTTTAATAGTTTGCACCACCCTAATGCATGTGTTTTCTTGTGTGAATTCATTTCGACTTTCACTTCGAGAGATTATATGACAGCAACTGTAATAACCATACTCAAGTATATTTGAACATGTCCTGAAAACGTTGAGATTTTCTATCATATTATACAGAGATTCACAGAGTTTGACTCGATACATATGATGAGAAAATAAAGCCCTCAAAAATAAATCATTTTTGAGTTACAAAACTATGAGATTTAAAAGTTTTTTTCAAATTTCCATTATGCTCACCTTTGTACAAGCTTGTATTTAAACTAGTGGAGATTATGTATCCAGGCGTCCGTACTATGTAAAAGTGAACATCTGTAAAAGGCTCGTAACTGTGTATTTGTTGAATTTAATTTCTTCTCTTACTGACAAATCTGATTGGCTGTCATGGTTTCTAGGATTGTGAACATTTTTTGAGCAAGCTGTGTTTCAGTCGCTCTATCGTGCAGCATTATTCTTTGGGATATTTTGCTGTAATCCAAGCACAGTTATTCTTTGTTTGATAATGATTTGTAGTTGTTTGCAATTTAAAACGTTTGACACAAAAACATGTGAAACTTACAATTGATTGTCTATTCATAATGAGCTACCTAAGTGGCACTACTGATTAAATATCAATACACTAGTGTGATTCGGTGACGTAAAACACCATTACAAAAGTATGAGGTGAAATACTCCCAAAAACTGCTGTTTTCAGTCAAGTCAATGATACTGAAATTAATTTCCTTTCTCTGCAGGATTGCCAATTCACCGAATGGTCCATCCGCAAAATTTCTTATTGAAAATTGTAAGTATTAATATTCAAATATAACATTAAACATCTCTAACTTTTGTAGCAGTGAAAATCTTTGTGGGGTCCTATGACACAGTGTCAGTAACTTTCTTGTAATTTTGTTTTCACAAATTCCATAAAAACCTAATAACATTTCCAGCAATGGTTTACAGTAAATAAACAACAAACCAACAAATGCATTACAAGACAGCAGATCAGTAAGAGTAGTATAAATGGATGCATTTTGAAATGAGTGAGCTCATCCTGCTCCCCATGTGGCACATGCCACATATCATTCTGAGTACCAGTCTAACCATTTCAGTCACTAATATTACTAACCATTGATGCTCTCAGTAACAAAATCAATTGAGCAACTAAACTCAAATTGTACAAATCATTGGTGTTGTCAGTGCTGTTATATGGGTCTGAAACTTGAAAGATCGCAAAAGGTGACGAAATAAAACTTAATACTTTGAAAACAAAGTGTTTAAGGAGGATATTGAAAGTAAAATGGCAGGACCATGTTAGGAATGAACTACTGACCAATATAGAGAATAGAAAATCTGAGCACTATATTAATGAAGAGGAGATGGAAATTTATTGGGCACACCTTGAGACAGGATTCTACAAGTATATGTAACACAGCATTAACATGGGTCACAAAAGGGAATGGGGTAGATCCAAAAAAACTTGGTGACACATTGTTGAGAAGGAAAGAAACAAGGCTGGATGGAAGTCATTGGAAGAGGCCAGTGTTGCAGCAGCTCATAAGACAGAATGGAGACATTTTCTGGATGCCCTATGTGCCACTAGATAGATAGATGCTTCAATTAAAATATTATAATTTGAGACACAAACATTGTCTACACATGATATCCATTAATACTCAAAATGATTTGAGGGATTGTGTTCACATCATATCAACTCATCACATTTTCTTTTTAACAGTACATACTATGGATGAACTTAAAATGACTGGCAATTGTTTGAAAGGATCTCGACCAATTCTGTCGTTTGATTCGTCTTTTGGTGGCGAGCCCCACTACGCCTTACTCAAAGAAGTCTTCACTCAGGTAAGCAGAAAAAAGAAAGTTTTGACTTTTATTGCCACTAGAGGGCAGAATTTATAACAAGAATTTATGGCTACAAAGTTTCCTTCCATATATGTTCAGTATAATTATGTTCCAATGCTTAAGGTAGAGATGCAGGTTCATGGGCACTTGGGAGTGAAATTTTTTTTTTTGCTTTTTATTATCCAAACAGTCTTGGCTATATATAGACTGTTAAAATTTTGTAGAATTGTGAATAGTGGAAAATACTCAAAAAAACGTTTTTAAAATATAGAAAACAGGTGCAAACATTCTCTCTTGAATGCTTAGCAAGATTTAGCAAGGCTGTACATAAATAATCAAAAAGAAACATGGTGAAAAAAAGAAATGACCGGATCTCCATATTATGCACTATATTTAACTTTTAACAAAACGATAATACATTTGAATTTGGAACTGTTACAGACATTTTAATTATGAGCATTAGCAAACTTCTTACTGAGTGAATTGTTATGCAAACTAGCCATTATCTCAGCTTCTTTTTTGTGCACATCCCAGAACTTTAAAAAAAAATAGCTCCTAGACGATTTGACCTTTTGTTTTGAAATTTTCACAAATGATTGACAGTGTATTTGTCTTCAAAACGCTATCTGGGCATTGTTTTTTGTTGAACAGTGTTACAACAATCGTACAGACAACTAGCCTTGGTGTTAATTTATGCATAAACTTGAAGTAGTGAAATTTGAGCTGCTGCTCTGCAAAATTGGCAACTGGTAGACAGTTTTTAAGACAGCACTTTCTTCATAGTAAACAGATGTACCCATAAACCAATTTTGACAGGAAACAGAAGCATGGTTTAGAAGCTAATTTTTTTAAATCACTTTGACCAAAAAAGCACTTTTTTGTGCATATTTCAAACTACAGTGTCCATAAAAAAAAATACTAACAAAATTTCATACAATAAGCTTTCCGAAAATATATAGTTTTGTGGACAAGGGAGGTCATCTTGGTTTCCTAATTAACTAATTAAAATACCTGTCAAGTAAACTGCATCTTACCTTAAGTTAATTTAAAAAATATACCGTAATTATTGTACTGATCAATAGTTTTATAAAGTGAAAGAAATCGTTTTCTTGGAGTAAAATTTCTATTTTATTTCACACCAAAGTCTATTCTGAAATTATTGGAGCCTATTAGAAATAGAGTTGGCAGCTGTGTAGGGGTGCTAAGGAATAGAGTTGGCAGATTTAGAGAAAAATTGCTGAGAAACCTAGGAAACTGACTTTAGTGAGGGGTTGCTAGGAAATTGAATTGAGGTAGAGCGGCTGGCAATAAAGTTGGTGTGCTTTGAAGGTGGAGTTATAGCTAGAGCTGGCATAGTCACTCGCATAAGAAAAAAACTGAAACATCATTCAAGACTAATACGCCTGCTCAAAAAATTAAAAAATGAGGCTACTCACTTTATCATAATTCTATTCCTCTTTACGGTAAAATTAATACTATTTGCTGTGTTATTGTTTTACCTTATGTGTGAATTCAATCCATTTGAATGTATTCAATTCAAAATTTTATAAATTTGATTGCACAAAAACTTTCATTACACTTTCATTACAGCATCCCATTCATCACACTGTTTAATGTGGGTCATAGCATTATATACAGTTGAAGCTTAATTTCCAAATTGGCTTTCAACTAGCTTTGCCTTTTTATAAAAACTAGTAATTTTTAAAATCATTGTCGTTGATCAATAATTTATTTATTCTTTTTAGTGTTTACCTAATTTACTAATATCAGTGTTGAGTGTCCACACAATGTTATGTGTTATGAATACCGTTCATTACAATGTTATGGAAATTTATCTAAAAAAAATACAATTAGTATTTGGTTAATTGTTATACAATGTAATACTGTTGATCTTTTGGATGCTATAATTTTTCCTCCAAAATTTTGCATATTTTAATGTATTTTTTCATAATTTCTTTGCTAATCTTGGACTTAATTTCACATTGGCTGCAGGTCTTGATCCCAACTTGATTAGTTGCATCATTTTAATTTCATATGTATTATATTTTGCAGATTTTCAGTACGCCATACCATCATCCTAAAAGTCAACCATTCGTTGACCACGTTTATACCTTTTCTGTTGGCGACAATAGAATATGGTTCAGGAATTATCAGGTAAGGCATGATGGGCGATATGTTTGGGTTACTGATAAGGGTAGCAAATGGTATTGTGAGAAACTGTTTTTAGATTATCAATATTGCTCCATGCTTTTCTACATTGATCACATCCTTATTCTATATCATATTTCATCAGCAAAAAAATAAATAAAACAGAATTTGAGTACTGTAAAATACTTTTATTATTTCCGCTATTTTCGCAGAAATTATGACTCAGTGAAAATAAAATCTAGTGAATATACCGTATTTATCCGGGTATGAGCCTAGGGTCATGAAGATGGGAAATTGCCAAAAAATAGGGATGTGTCTATGCCAGAAAATCCCCCTTCAAAAAAAGTGAAAATTCATAAAAATTGACAACATGCAGATTGAACTGCGGGAGACTGAAATGGCAAATGAAAACATGTACTGAAAATAAGTGAACAATATGCAACAGTAGAAGTATAACAAAAATAATGTATTGCTTATAATGTGAGAAATTAACCAGTAATAATAAAAATCATCAGTTAGGAATCATTTGAATTAGGATTTGCCTGCCGCCAAATGCGCACAATACGTGCGAAATGAACTCAGATTGAACTGAAATGTCAGGGATAAAATTATTTCTGGTTTTGACAAATACTAGATCAACAGTCATACAAGATCAATAATAATTTACAAATTTACACAGTAAAAATTACAAATGTTTATAGTTGTTTGAAAAAAAAACTTCTCAGATCTCTATTTGTACGTTCATTGCCATCTTCATCAAAGTCAAAACCATCAAAGTCCAAGTCCACATCTGTCATCTTCGGATTTCATTTTTGCACTGTATGTGTTATGCTTTATGCCATTCATGTTTTGGTTCAGTATGTTGATTTTAAATTTAATTCATTAGTGACAGATACAATTGTATGCAGTTAATGAGTGGGATGGGCATGTCTGATTCCATAATATATTATTTAAAATTTTATCTGATTAATGACTTTAACATCAGGCATGATTTATCTACATCAGCTGGACTAATTAACTTAATGCATCATGATAAACATAATATAGTTCAGGTTATTGACTTTCTGAAAACATTGAAATGTACACAAATAATGATGTTAATAGTTCTATCTCACGATCTATTTAATTTATTCATGATTTGGAGTGGGATCATCAGTGACTGCTGATGACCTGTCCTTGCAAACATAGATGTTTTATTCATTTAAACAATTCTTTGAAATTATTAAATGTTATTTTTTTTTAATGAAAATGCTGCACAGAATATATTAGACTAATTTCAATTGCCAAAATTGGAGTAATTATGATTTCAAAATTGCCAAGGAAAGAAATAATATTAGATTATACCAGTGTTTAGTGCCTTGAATAGATTATTGTGAATGGGGACAAGACATGCGTTTAATTTATGCAAGCCATGGTTGAATGGAGTTCAATGCATTCTCAGGCATTCCCATTATGGGTTGTTGTATTCTGAGTTAGGCCCCAGAATATGGATAGAAAAACACTAAATCAGTATCTTTTGAATATAGACTTTAATTTAATAATATAAACTTTATGAAAATGATCACATGTAGCCACAGTATTCAACTGTAACTAGTCTGATAGTAATTTTGGCCCCAAGGAAGCCATAGAATGCTCCATTTTAACTTAGAATTATCAAAAACCCCACACCCTGGTATGGAGAACCCTATCTCCCCAGCTTGGTAGCTCCGCTGAATTGCAGTGCTACCTCTTGCATTTTTTGTTGTTGAAAAAACCCTGAATATAGCATGTTAGAATTCACTACTGAGTATTCAGAATATGATATTGCAGTTATTTAATGTTGGAATAACTGTAAAATATTATACAATTAAATTCACTGAAATGATATAAAAAATATATATATATATAAGGTAGAAAATGTGAAATGGAATCACCCAAAACTGTAGCATCATCTTGCTCACTTCTCTTTTTGAGTGTCTGTTCTTTAGCTAAAACAAGTGAAATATCACAAGTTTTTTTGTCAATATCAACATAACGATCACATACTTAACTACCATTTGATCCAAACTGAAAAGTTGACAGGAAAATGGAAATTGACACTGTTGTTCAAAACCTGAGCACACTGTGACCTTGGGTTTAATGTGTTTTTAATCTCATCTGATGAACTTTGAAATTTGTTAGATTAATCTGCACTCAAGTGTATTAAGCTTATTTGATGTTTTTGACTTCATGACTCGTTCATAAATTGAAAATCTGATACAAAGTTTTGTCAACAATCCGAGGATTAAATGCAGTATTCTCCCTATAAATGTGATTTACCACTGTTCCATTACAAAGAAAGCAGATAAAAAAAAAATCTCAAGATACAGATTAGGACAATTCCGAAAAAAGTGCATCCATTTTTTTTATCAAACATTTTTGATTGAAATATTTAAAGTAAAAGTTAAATTAATTAAATATTAAATATCGACAAGTCACACTGAGCAGAACACTGAATGATTATGTTCATTATTATCTTTCAGATTGTAGAAGAAGATGGTTCACTAGCTGAGGTTGGACCAAGATTTGTACTCAATCTTATTAAAATATTTGGTGGTAGTTTTATTGGTCCAACTTTGTATGAAAATCCTCACTATAAATCACCTAATGAGGTAAGACATTGTAGATACTAGTTTTAGTTGTCAATAGATAATCTGGGCAAGTAACTACATTTGTAGTTATAGGTGGTGTGGGTATTTGGTAGTGTTTTTTTAATCAACTAATATAATATGTTGTGTGTGAAAGTCAATCAGTGATAGGTGCTGTGGTCAAATCAACTAGTGATGCTGGTAGATTGTATGAGTATGTCAACGAGTAATAAATAGTTTGAGTAGGTAAACTAATAATAGGTTTTGTGGGTACATGTAAATAGTAATGCGTGGTCTTTCAAATAAACTAGTTATTGGTAGTGTGGTAACTCAACTAGTATTATATGGTGTGGTAAAACTAACAATACGTAGTGTGGGTTACCATTCATGAACTGAAAGGGTTACTGGTATGTCAATTAAGAAATAGATAGTTTGAGTGGCATATCAATGGACTGTTTATTAAGTATCTTCGTCAACTTGATGAAAATGCTTTTTTTTAAACAAATAATCTGATTGTAGTAATTGGATATCCTTCCAACTTTTATTAGCTTGATTTGATATTTGCACTTTATACTAATCTCTATTAAATTACACCTAACCCTTGATATATAGAATGGTCTATCTTTTTCTTATGCTGCTAATTTTACTTGAATTATTCATCTCAGTTGGCAAAGTATAGGATGACATACAACACTTTGTCTTCTTTATATCGGCTTTTCATGAATGAAATCAAACACATACTCTCTATGTACATTGCAGGGAGAATTATTACAGCTGTGGATCGATGTCCACTAATACATTCTATATGTAATGGATCCAAAATTTATTTTTGTTGTTTTTGGGTGGTTCACCTTTAACCCTCTAACTGTTTTTTACATTTGGGTACAAGTATAATTTGAGGTCTGATATAAAATAGTTTTTAGCTCAATTGTCAACAAAAATGATAGCAGAGTGGTTTATATACTAGGTGATTGTTCAGCATTGTTTCTATTTTCAACTTCTTGTAAACTACAATCTAAATTGCTTTGATACTTGATATGCAGTTCTGTCAGATTTGTTTTTATTCTGTGAAGATATCATGAAATCTTTTTTTTTTGGCAAATATTTTTGATTTTAGATTAAATAATTATGTAATGTGTGTTGATTTGTCTTCATTTTACTCACCAGAAAAAGCCTGTGAAGATGTGTTTAGATGAAACCCAGGAAATTTTTTTCTCACGACAAATGTCTTTAGTCCCCGTTCGTACGTTGTCTGACTGGCGGCCATTTTGTTTTAATGAATGTGGTTCTAATGCCAATTCTCTGAGATGCTTTGTCTGATTACAACTGTATGTTCAAATTTTAAATATTCATTATACATCATGTCATAGATATACACATATATTGGTTTGACAGTACAATTCAAAATGACCCAATTGTGGTCATTTTTGTGCTAAAAAAATCATTAAAAATCAAGCATTTCTGGTTTTCCGGATCTTGGTCGTGTATGGATGGAATTCGTTGGTACATACAATGAGGGTTCCTGATGAACATCATTTTTTTTTCAGATCGGATTAAAAATGAACAACTAGCAGCCATTTTGTTTTAATGAATGGGGTTTTAGTGCTATATCTTTGACATGCTTTGACTCATTATACATCATGTCATAGATATACAGACGTATTGGTTTGACATTCCGATTCAAAATGGCCGACGGGTGGCCATTTTGTTTTAATTAATGCTGCTCCAGAGCAATATATCTCAATATGAACAAGTACTTGTACTATGTTACTATAAACAAAACTATATAACTTAGATTTGATAACTAACAGGGACTGTGCCATGCATGGCTTGTTTATTTTTTTTTGGAAATGGAAATGCAATCAATTTTGAATATGAACAAATTCTGTGCTTATTATTCCTATGATATTTCAGCTCAGTTTGAGATATGGATTGTTGAAAAGTGCCTGACCCTTGCCATCATAGTTCAAATGTCTCTTCTTATTTGCAGCAACGGCGAGACTTGAAGCGAGAAGCATCTCTACGGTACCAAAACCGAATTCAATCTAAAGCTGTACTTGATCAAAGACGTGAACAATCAAAAGACACTTCGTACAAGATGGATACTACAGATGAAGTGTTTTTCACAATAAAACCTGAAGATGCTGAAGGACTTGCCAAATCAACATTTTATCGAAAAAAATAAGCATAATTTACATATATCTTGGGATGTATAGTGATGCACTCAAAGTTAACAATGGATTTGGTGAAGTTGATGGTTTTCGTATTAAATTCATTTGGGATTTGGTCTTCCGGGAGACAAGATGTCAGTTGCCCGTCAAACAGTTTTATTTTGTATATGTGTATCACAACCCGTATGGTCACTTTGCTAAGATTACAGATTGCTTAGAGACTGGTATTTTCACTTGTATCGACTTTCATTAAATGGAAAATGACATTTAACCCTGTCAGTGTATAGAACATTTTATTTACCTTCTCTACCTGTTTATAAAAAAATAACTGGTATTGTTTGCCTTTTTATTCGGACTCTGCATCAAAGTTTCACTTTGTAATCATTCATAAAGCATTATTATTACATGGGGCTAATATGTGGAATATTTGATGGTCTGAATGTGAGAGAATTTTTGGAAATATACAGTAAACCTTCAAATTTCAATTCATTCAAATGCTGGTGATCATTTCTGCTATTTTATTATGCGTTTGTATTCCCTTTGCTGTCTCTTTCAAATAGTGTTTTAAGATGTGCTACAGTAATTAAAACAAACAGAAAAAATGTTTTTTACTGCAATGCGCTCATATTCAGACTATTATCACATAATAGTTCCAAGACTATGTATGCTCTCAATGTGCAACTTTAAGATGAGGCTGCTGGAGAAAATTTTTGAAAATGGTTTATCAAGCAATTAAAAACAAAAATCTTGTTGAAAAGCACACATTTAATTGAACATGTATGTATTACAAAATGTTTACCCAATTAAAAACTTAAGGGTAGGCTGAGGGATTGTCATGGATGATAATTAAATTACTGCATTATGTCATAGGATTGAAAAAAAATTAATAAAACAATAATAAGCTACCGGTATATGTGAATATATTTACCAAAAAACAGTCCTCCAGCTTAATTTTTAATAGAAGTCATTCCTCCTTGCCAACTATTTGAGTTAGAATGTATACACTTGTGGTTTAGCCCCAAGAGCTCCAATAAAATTAGAGTGAAAAAACAAACTTGGTTCCCCTGGAGAATTTTTATATTGCATTATACATACCAATGAGAGATGGATATTATTCCAAACATAAACCATTCATATCGCTTGTTCCTTCCAACCTTGACATCTGTAATCTGAAGGTATTAATGTGATTTGAAACTTTCATCAACTTTTGATCCTTCAACAAAAGATGTAGGTGATGAGATAATGCTGGATTTGTATGCCATCATCTTCTCTATGAATCAATCCTATTTGATGGGATAATATTGGGCATTCTACTTTAACACTCGTCCACATGAAGCTGCTTAGACAAGTGTTGCCATGGAAACTGATTAAATAATCCTTTTGTCAATGCGTTGGTGGGACTGAAATGTTAATTGTTTTTCCTATGCATGAATAAAATGTATTAATTTGGAAAATATAATTTATTTAATTTCACTGATTTGACCTAGGTGTCATCACTGTTTTTATTCAATCCTTGTTATCAATTGAATACAACTTAATCTTTTTAAAGGCAGTAGTTGTTTATAACTGAAGTGACATTTATTTTGGGGAATTTGTAATATCTACAATGGAATAAGATAAAGCATCACTTGAAAGACCAACAGGAATTTAATTCTTGCAACTTAAAAATAACCCTTCTTAAATTGATCTAAAATATGTGGTTTTAAAACACTAAACAGCACTAAATTTGAATGATTTTTGGTTCTATAAAAAAGTGGTGTTTTTTATTGTATTATAACTGATAATTGTAATGCAGAATACATGCATTCATTTTGTCTAAACACGACTTTAAAGGCATCTTCTTGTACATGAAAGTAAAAATATTAACACACATTTAACAATTACAGGCCAAAGTTTTAACCAGAATGTCTGTGTTGCTCACCTTCAAGCTTCTTTCTAAGAGCACTGGGTACAAGAAATTATTGGGTGAAATATTTAATGTTATGAATTTTGTGGAAAAGGAAACAGAATTCTGCTGTGTGAGTCACATGTATTTTTAATAAAAGTGAACATTTGTGAATCAATGTTCATTGGAACACTCTTCAAAAGTGAAAATCCAAACACTCATTGTCTAATAAAGCTATATGAATGATCTAAGATGTATATATAGCGAAAATGAAGCATCAAACAATTGATAAATAGATTACTGAATATAAATAAAAACACAATGTGTCCTCCAAAACAAAACTTGTAATTATTGGACCTTTCGTGGTGAATCGATCAAGTCATCCTGATGTTCCATGTCAATTTGGTGATGAACTGCATACCACATTTATATAATTTGTAATGTAATGTCTTTAATGCTAATTGATCAAACCGTTTAATTTTCAGAATTTGCAATTTAAGTGCATTTGATATGACTGTCTTGTGAATGTCACCTTGACTCGCCGTCTTAACACTTATTTGGTCAAGTCAATTTAAAAGTTCATGGGACTGGCAGGATAAGTGTTGAATATTTAATTCAATAACTTCAGTTTTGCAGTTTTCTATGAAATGCTAATATCACAAAAAGATTCATTAAATTAAAGCAAATATCAAAATCACCAATATTTTTTTTTACAATATAATCACTGGAAAAAATATCGACAGCTCTATATAAAACAATAATTCTAAAAATGTTATTGTTATGTAATACAGGCAAAATTATCATATGTTATTAAACATTCAGTATGTGTATGTATGTTCTTATGATTACATCTAACCCGAATTGTGGGAAACATTTTATGCATTTGTCTACGAAGTGTAATTACCCATTGCTACAGGTTTGAATCAACGTTTGGAAATAAAAAAGTCATACATTGTATATTTTCGAAAGCTAATAAAAGTTGGCCTTCAAAATGTTATCTTTGTAGCATTTTATGAGCCTCAATGTCCACGCAAATATTCACATTATTTTGTACTCAACATGCTCATTATTTCCTCATTTTGATGTGCGTTGACATTAAGGTCATTGGCCTAATCTGCATAGCGTGTCTAACATTTTTTTAGCCAACAAACATTTCAATATTTTATTTACAAATTAATATTCAATGTGTTCTTAGAATCTATGAAACTAACACGCTGTCGGCATCACGTAGTAATTAGGCTAACATGGGAAATGCTTTGTTTCGAGTAAATGTAGAAAACGTTCCAGCTATTACCGTTTTAACCTGTCACGACCTAAATTATTCTTTATATTTCTTTTCCAATCAATGCAGATATAATCCCAGAAGATTACTCCTGTCACTGCGTGTGATTTACGTGCTTTGGGAATTCATAAGTAGTTTGTTTGCAGCACTATTATTTCGATTGTTTTAAAATAATGCTGGTGTACGTGCTTTGGAATGTGAAGATACATATTTCATAAGATTATATTAATTTGCCAGTACCAATTAAATAAAAAAAAAATAGATCAATGTTATAATTATAATGTAATCAATTTCAGTCTATACTTTGTTACGCTTAGTTAGAATTCTATAGCGCAGAGAGTGCAGAATTATTGCTAACAATATTATGATTATTGTTACTTTTTTCAAATTTGTAGAATTTAATAATAATCTAGCGATATTGATTGGAAATGAAAAAAAAATGAACATTCACAAGCGTAATGCATTTCATGGTAGCTTCCATAAAATACCTAAATAGAAAAAAAAATCATTTGTTTGTGGTGATTCCTTTTTATATCGCCAAACTTGCTGTCATGGTAACGATACTGTTATTTATACACTTCTATCACTTGTTCATAGGAATCTCGGGATGTGTTTGTTTCTATTAAGTATATATGTTGGTATATGGATCATTGTTGTAACTACTGGATCCGCAGGGATTGTTGATCAATGGTTGTTGCATTGAAATCGGGCAATAAAAGTGAGTCTTCACGCCTATACCAATGCAATGAGTACATTCAAAGACAATTCAATATTTATAAAAACTAACTATATCTGTCTAGTTTCAGCTCTTATTACCAATACACCAATGATGTGAACATATTCAAGAGGTTTGGTTTCCAGTGTCAACGTTTAGACGGTTGCTCAATGAGTGCATTTCACTCCTTAAATTGAGTTGATAATGAATCTGACAATCATTTTCAAAATGTGAGTTTCTCTTTTCAAATATTGGTTTTAATTTCTCATGTCAACTTCCATACAAAATAGCACACACTATTCACTTAAAATGCATCGCGTCTTTGTACTAGCACAGTTTGGTTTATAAATAATTAATTTCTTACTTGTTGGAACAGCTGGTGATTTCTAATCCATCAAGCAAACTCGTGTACAAGGTCAGGACAAATATCTAATGATCAGTGAACCATGTGTTCATTTCCACGTTGGATAGAAACATGTATGGATTGTCAACTCGGAGATATACGAGTATTTTTCTTATTACGAGAGTTATTACACTAATAAGAACTGCCATGCAGAGAAAATATCTTTATTATAATGATAAGTATTGTATAATAATTATCTTATGTATGTAAGTAGTTATGAGTATGTAAGTTTTGTTTAGGTAACAGAACGATTCATAAATTAAACTCACATAATTATTTGTTTATTTTTAAAAACAAATGTTGATCAAGACTTATATTATCCCAAATCACAGTCTGACAATAAGCCTCAAAGACCTGTTGGATTCGATCTATAGAGGGTATGTGCCCAAATAAACAAATAATGTGAAAAATTATTATAAGACGAACAAGTTTGTAATCAGATTGCATAATAGTCCATAGTGTTTAATAAAAAACTCAAATTACGAGTGTGTGCTCATTGTAATCGTTACAAAAGGTTTCGTTATTCATTGAAAAGCTCAATTGAAACATACAAAAACTAGATTCAAATTTGCATACGTGTTACATAATCTAATTCATTTTCCAGTATTCTCTTTCATCCGCCGCTGAACATGTTTGGGAAAAGCATGATTCATTGATTTTTTTTTTGAGTTATTATGTTCGGTTGAATTGCCAACAGTCTCGTACAATTATGACCATTCTCAATTCGGAATGTCTAGACACTGAATCTAGTAAGCACAAGTGTATGCATTACCTTTTCAGATAATGTCTCGTATATGGCCGGCCTTTGATGCGTAAACTGTGTACTATAATGCGTATTACCTTACATTGATGGTCCTATATCTGATGTAGTTTTTAAGGAATATATTCTTCATGTTTAGTACCAGTTTAGTATAGAACCATATGTTTGGTAATTTGACGGTTGTCGAACAGAATCTTCTCGTTTGGTCTTTAATCATGCAAAAG